CGTCGTTTCTCTGATGATCGCCGCGACAGGCCAGGGCTTCTCCTACCGAATCGCCCGAGAAGCGGCGCAGGAGGGAGCTGCCTCTTCGGTTGACTTTGAGATGGCGCGCGTCGTGCAAACCAGGATGGCAAGGTTTGATTTCCAAATCGCAACGATAATCGACATGGTGACCTGCGTATGCATTGCAAATAAAGTATCGTACTCGTAGAAATGCACTACAAATTTACCCAGCATGAGAAATATAATTTGTATTGCGGATTTACCATAAGAAAAAGATTTGTAATGGATGACTGCAATTATCACCGGTAGGATGCTTTTGCATTGCATAGTGCGTCGTCATTCTGGTTTATCTGATCATCTACTCTTTCCTGAAGAGGTTCCGCACCGCCTGGGTCCAGGGGAAACAGCTGAAAGTACCGTAATGAAAAATCCCCCCTCCCCCATAGAGGAAAGGGAAATTTGTGATGCTGATTTGTGACCACAGATCAGCTCTGTCTTGCGTACAAGGCAAACGGCACCCATGTGGCGCATTGTTGTGCAGCGAGTTTGTCATGCGTTTTCGCCTTAATATGTCAGACTTGTTTCTCATGCTCAGCTGCTAGCCGGATGCGTAGTACCCAAATGGGTTTAGAATATGCCGACAAGCTCTTGCAGCAATACAAAGCTCATCTGTCTACATAAATCCAGCAACACAAATTGTCTTTTGAATATGGGGCGCTGGGGGCTTTTTTCACTTTGATAGAAAGGCGCGAAAGCGGGAGCGCTGCGGCCGTGGAGCGAGGGAAAGGAATTTAAGCACAAGGCGATACGTATGCAGTGCAAAAGTATCGCGCTCGTACTAATCTTCGCAGTCATGCAAGACAAATCTCTTTTCCAAGCTAAATCAGCATGACAGAATCCATCTGTCATGCTGCGCTAATTTGTATTGCAATGCAATATATAGTGTCACTCCGATAGTACTTTCGCAATGCATAATCTGTCCGGAGCCCGGGAACGTTTGGAGAATAGATTTGACAAAGGAATTCACGTATGAAATGCAAAAGTGTCTGGGTCTGGAAGGATGCGAACTTGTCATGCATATTTTCCATGCCCCGTGATGTCTGGAATGCAGGACCTAGCATGACAGATTCTGCGATGTCTCTATCATGCCTATCCTGCATGAGAAACTCCAGCTCATTTTGGTCAAAAAAGGACAACTTTTGGTGATCACGCAACACAGATTCTTGCGTGACCCACAGGACGCATCACAAATTCCATCCTCCCAGACCCAGACACTTTTGCATTTGATATCTCGGATTCGGGGAGTTTTCTCGGGAATACGAGACTCGTGCACAATTTCCCCCTGCTTCTTCCCTTACTTGTCATGTGAAATTAACTAAATACCAAGTCTGGACTGTTCTTTACTTTTTGGCACTTTTTTGTGCATGAAATGAAAACTCTCGGATGAAATCCAAGCAGTACAACTAAAATTCGTGTGCTGCCGGTTATTTGTCATGCCAAAACTAGTGCGTGAACGTGATTCCTGTTGCTCGTGTTGCTGCAGGAAAGTAAGTACTTACATTCTTGCAAATGAGGAGAAGCAGGGGGAGGGTCTTTTGCGCTTTCATAAGAATGGGCGTGTTGGCCGACGTGGAGGATTTTTGATGAAAAGCAAAAGGTGGAGCTTGTCATGAGCCGAGTAAAAATTTCACTACGGATTGAACTTCAGTGTCCTCCGACTACAGTGGACGATTTTCTATAATTACAGAAGAAAGACAAAGAGCAATGCAACAATAAAAGAGAACTAGATGAAGATTGAGAGCCGTAGATCAACATCAGGACGAACACCGTACTACGCGACTCGTCTCTGTTTTCATCATTTTCGCGCGCCGCAAGCGTCGTAGCTCTCGTGACGACTTCGGAAATAAAGCGCTAGGGACCACTAACGTGCGAGTTACTGGAAAAAAACCTAGGCGAAGAAGATCTTCTTCCCCCACGAGCCGCGCTAGTCGTGTCTATTCGAAGATCTTCCAACTACAAAAAGATCCTCCAAAAGCCGGGCCAAGCGAGTTCTTGACCATGTAGCAGCAGAATCAATTAGTGAAGATCCCCTGAGCTGCACCTTTTGCGATCATACTTCGACCCGCGGTATAACGAATTTCAGCTCAACAGGAACAGAGCGATGAAGATGAAAGTCACCGATCGACGACGGCATAAGGACGATCTTGTCTACGACAAAGGACGAGCTACTTACTTAGTCGAAAAATCTTCCATCCGACCGGCTGTGCTACTCGGAGAATTTATTTGATGCGTTCACGACGCGAAGACAAAGACAAGGACAGCGACAGAATGTTTTTGCCCAACGAGGACCCAACAGCGACCTAGTGCTTTTAGAAAGTTTTCGTGGTAGATCGCTGTTGAAGATGAGATTTATTTCGGTGTCAGAGACAGGCGTTGCTCTTTACTTACATGATTATATTTTTCCGGACAGCGAGGTAAGAAACCAAAAACACTAAAATCGTAATCCGGATAAAGATCGATGTTATGCTGCAAGTTGCGGTTGCGCCCCTTTCTCTTAAGTCTGTAGTCTGACCGCAATGTTGAGGCCACCCACCCTTGCGTGTTATTTTTCTATCTTCTTCTAGTCTACACAGATAGACATCTATTAAACTGGATGTGGATGTCATAATGAGCGGCCACAACGCCCAGGACCGCCGCCCTTCTGGTAACGCCAAGAAGAACCCGGCGACATCATCGGCCTCAAGAACGTCGTATGCATTGCAAAAGCATCGTACTAGTATAAATTGCATTACAAAGCTTCTCAGCATGAAAAATTGAATTTGTCATGCTGTTTTACCTCGGAAAGGAAATTTGTCATGCATAACTGCAATTAGTACGAGTGCGATGCTTTTGCACAGGATACCTCGATGCTGCCGCCCCGCCTGCTGCCCCCGCCGAGAAACAAACGGCTGGCGTCTTCGGGAAGTGGTCAACATGCGGAGGATGTAGTTCTGGAAACAAGCACTAAGAAGTCGCTGCCCGCCGTCTCCCTCGCAGGACCAACAAAAATTGCCGGCAGCAGCTCCTCCTCTGTCGTTCCGCCGGCTAGCAAGATCTTCACAGAGAACAAGACATCAACGGGAGCAGCTAGTGCAAGAAGTGCAGCGGCCGCTGTCAAAGAACCTCAAATCCAAACAACAAAGCCGATGTCGTCAACATCAAAACCGAAACCGCCAGCAACTGAGGAGTGGGTTCAGTTGCTCGCCCAGCATCACAAAATTCCGGCGACAAGTCAGGTGTTGAACAAAGTGCGAAACAAAAACCTCCACCTCACCACCTACAGTGGCGCCGCGGGGCAGAAGCGAGGAACGAAAAATGGGGGAATAAGAAATAACCCCGGGGGTCCAGCAGCTGCTGCTGCTGCTTCCGTGGCGCGAGCAAGGCTGGCCTCGACCGGTAGCACAAGTACTAAAACCACCTTCAAGGCGAAAGGAAAAGGGGCCTCCAAGATAAATACCGCGCAGCTCAAACCCGCAAAAAAGATCGGGCACAGGGCGGCAAGGGAGTTGAAGCTCTTTGAAATTGGGGAACGGCCAGAGCAGAAGAGAAGTCATGGAGGACGTCGAAATGGACGTGGTAAAAATGTGTTAAATTCGGCTGGGAGTACTTGCGCAGCGACGACGAGCATTTTAGGCCCAGCAGCCGAAGAAAACGTTGATATGGAGGAACAGCTGGAGGGCCGTAGCGCGCAAGAACTACCGGGAATAAATCGTGATCCTGAAGTTGACCAAGTAGAAATTATGCAGGGGAAAAATATAATTGAAGGGAAGACCACAACATCAAAGCGACCACCACGACGACCTCCAGCACAGGGCTCATCTACATTCGCCCCGACTCGGTTAGAACAGCGACTGGGGATACAGATCGGGCGTGGAGCTACTACCACATCAACTGCGCCTGCTCGTCGCAGCACCAGTAGTAGGAAGAAGACACGACGTCCTCGGCCAGATGCGACGAACAACCCAGGAGCGCGACCACGTCCGAATTCTGTGGCGAACTACAAGAACACGCAGGACTCTACTAGCCAAGCTGCTGCGTTAAGAGTAAAACTTCCAGATGAAACAGAAATGCCGGAGGCACAACACGCTCCTGCATCTTCAATGCGCGTCGATGAAGCTACCACTCCTGCGCCAGTGCTGCCAGATCATCATGAAATATTAACCGTCGCACAAGAAAGTTGTAGTAGAAGTCCTCTCCCCGCAGGAGTATTTCCTCCTGACCAACCCGCCCTCGACCTCGCGAGGGCTTTGAACTACAACTTGGACAGAAGAAAGACAGAAGTTCTCGTGCCGAAACAGGGCTATCAAATGCAAAAATGTCTGGGTCTGGAAGGATCCGAACTTGTGATGCGCATTCTAGAACACAGAAAAATCTCTCATGCATAGGTAGCAAAAGCTGCCGTCGACTTTCTGTCACCAAAATGGGGGATTTCTCATGCGGGTTCGGCATTGCGGAAGCTTGTCGAAACCTGTGATGCTAGAGCTTCCATGCCAGACCTTCCGTGTCATGCAAAAACAGCATGACTCTTCCAGACCCAGACATTTTTACATTTGATAAAGGCAAGCGGAAGACCAAACCCTTACCCGAGGCGAAGTTTGGGAAATTTTTCGTGCTTGCCGACAAGTGGCAGCAGTACTTCGTATCAAATGCAAAACTGTCTGGGTCTGGAAACTTGTGATGCAAGTCTGTGAATGATAGGCGCACTACAATATGCAGCCAAGCAAGACAAGTTTTTGCACGTTCCATGTGCTTCGTTTTCCGCATGGCAAACTGCACTGCGTTTTTGCATGACAGGCAGGAGGCCCCGTTCCTGCTTACGCATCACAGATCCAAGAGTCATGCCAGACAAGCAAGACAAGTCCGGCATTCTTCCAGACCCGGACATTTTTGCAATGCATACTTCGAGCGAAACAACAACCTCACGCGGGCGACGGTGCTGGTCGGCGCGCGAGTGCGCGTCTGGGAGAATGGGGACCGGGTCCGGAAATTTAGGGCGTGGAAAAAAGCAGGCGATTTGTCCAGGCGAATAAATAAACACGGAGGGATTTTCTGGGGGAAGAAGGGCGTCGTGGGGGATTTTTCTTTGATGTACACTGAGGATGATCTCGTCGGCCTTGATGCAGTCGACTCTTCAGACGAAGAAGTTTGTTGTTCCAGAGACGGCGGAGCTATTAAGCAAGGGAAAATAAATCAAAGTGAAGTTCTTGCGAAGCAGGAGGAGGATGCTGTAGTTGACGACACAAGGAGGGGTGGAATTTTTGGTCAAGAGAAAATAATAAGTGAGAAGAAGAATGTGAATGTGAATAGGACTAGCGCAGATGTTGAGCTTAGCAACAAGTTCCTTGCACCAGCTCAGAACTACGAGTACATCGAGGTGGAGAAAAAAAGACTACTAAAAGCGGCAAGAGGAACTACTGGAACAACCGACCAGAAGATATTGGACGTCGATAAAAACGGTACAACAACTTCTGCAACAGGAGGTGCCAGCACGACAGTCGCACCAGCAGAAACTACGAAAAATGCGGAAGTATTAACAGATGCGAAGCGGGAAACCAAGAAAAGGAAACCGCCTGCAGGAACAATTTCATCAAGTTCCCCCTCCATGTATCAAATGCAAAAATGTCTGGGTCTGGGAGATTGCGACATTTCTCATGCTGGTCTGGTATCACTCTGAAGTCTGTGTTGCATGGCCGCGAAGTAGAGCTCCTCCTCCCTGTCATGCAAAAACGCAGTTTCTCGTGCGGAGTACGCAATTGAGAGGCATGAAAAAACTTGTCATGCTTGGCAGCGCATTATAGTGAGTTCACTACTTTTCCCTTTCTTGCATCACAAGTTTCCAGACCCGGACATATAATTTGCAATGCATACCATTCTGCTCAGCCACGGCATCATCGTGAAGGAAAGCGCGAAGACGCTGGAGGTGGTGGGCTGCGACGACAAAATCCGCAAGTACATCAAAGCGCTGTGCATCTTCGAGCTCCTCTGGCAGTCGGAAGAGGACGACGATGGCAAGACGCAAATCCTCTCCACTATCAAAATGGAAAATCCATCCTCCCCACATCGAAGCGAAATTTCTGATGCTGGATTTTGCGTACACAAATCAGGTCTGTCTTGCAGTAGAGGATTGCAGGCCCATAATATCATGCAAATGTGGAGAGGTTTTTGCCTAGGCACTTAGCATGAGGAACGTCAATGCTGTAGGACCAACAGCATTACAAGCCGCCTGCACAATGAATGGGACGTAGCCCATGCCATCGCTTTCTTGCAAGACAGACGCGATTTTTTGTGGTCACAAATCAGCACCGCAAATTCTCTGAGGCGTTCCGTTTCGATATGGGGAGGGAGGATTTTTCCTCACGATATCCACCGGTGTCTACTTTCAACGGGCCAGCGAGGCTTTCAGGCTGTGAGATCCCGATCTGCAATGCGCGTCGGTTTAGCAGGCCGCACCGATTTATATAAATGGTGATTGTTCTTTCTCGAAGAACAAGAAGTGCTAGTGGTGGAAAACGGCGTTTCAATCGAGTTACTTACAACCGACTTGATTTACGACCGGAACAAGTAGATGGAAATCCGGAATTTCATTTGACAAAACAGGCGACACCAACATCTATAATTAACTCCGGCCCTACCAAAGGCATAGGTACAAGTGAGTGGAAACCCACTAAGTGCCTCTTGCGGAAGACTGCATAGGTATAGTCGTGCGGAAGACTTCGGGAGGTTCTGTTCCTCTTGGGTTTGAAGACGCCACCAGCACCTCTCGATCGATTGGCGGCGTTCGTTTTCATCTCTCGGTCAAAGCTACAGGAGAATTGAATGAACTAGAATTCAGTTGTAGTAATTCGGTCGCCTGATCAAGGAAGAAAAAGATCATTACCTCTGCCGCGCAAAATATATAAATGTGTGCTCCAAAAAACAAAGAGAAAGACAGGCTTGTCTGAACTTCGGTTATATTTTTTTCCCGGTGCTTCGCGGTTGTTTCTTTGTGTTTTTTTGTTTCATCTTCTTCCTAGAGAAGTGGAGAAAAGGAGAGCTGCTCCTGGGCCAACGTGGTTGTTGTAAGTAAGTACCACTGTTTCTGTTCACAAGAAATGTTTGTTGCCTGTTCATCATCCTCTGCAACTACGGCGATCATGCCGCCTGCTTTGGGACGTCGAGGAGGTTCTTCTACAAGGGCCGCGGTCACTGTGCACCATTTAAAAATATCGCCACCTGCAGCTCCAGTTGTAAAACTTGGTCGGCGGCGGTGGGGCAGCTGCAAGATGAAAGAACCTGGTGTCCATGATGCTTCTCCTGGTTGGAGCTATGAAAGGAAGCCCAAAACGTTCATCTTCATCGCCCCTTGGTACAACCCGGCGGTTGGGAATGATGTACGATGGAAAATACCGTCCAGGGCGAGTGGAGTGCAACGAACCGGCTTCATGAAGATCTCCTTTTGCGGCGCTTCCACTGCTTCATGTAATTTTCCCAAAATAAACAGCAAGAACCACTTCTCAACCTTTTCGTCGGGAGCGAGCTCCTATCACATGCAAATATCCCTGGATGTCTGGAAGGATGCAACTTGTGATGCCGCGTCTGCATTCTACAAAAATCTGTATTGCTGGAACAGCAAAGTAAGAGGTCCGGTTTTTCCCACGGCGAGAGGTCATTTGTTTCTCATGCGGTATAGGCATCAGGAAGCCGAAGCCCTCACAAGATCTGTGATGCTAGAAGGACATGCATCACAGACATCAGGAGTCATGCAAAATGTGCATGATAAACCGTGCATCCTTCGCCCAGATCCAGACATATTTGCATTTGATAGCTCCTCCTCAAGCAGTACTAGCTCCTCGACGTCGTCCTTCGAGAGACAGCCGTCGACCACCAATTTGTCCAATGAGCGCCTACGCGAGTTGTTAAACGCGGAAATCGTTTCGCTGGGCCTGCTATGAACTGCAAAAATGTTTGGGTCTGGAAGAATGCATGTGTGTCATGCTTGTCTGGCATGACTCTTAAATCTGTCATGCACGTTACCCAAGAGCCCCATTTTTCTGCCATGCAGAAACGCAGTTGGTCATGCAGCATAGGCAACACCTGGAAGCTCAAGCTCAGAAACTTGTCATGCTGAGCCAGCACTTGTTGCCTCCTCATGATATCCCACCCAGCATCACAAGTTTCCAGACATCCAGGGATATTTGCATTTCATACCTGCGGGACCCGAAGCCGTTTACGTTGGAGGAGATTTTGTCCTTTCAAACGACGGAAAAGCTGGGAAAGGTACTTCTGAATGAACTCCCGATCAGATTCGCGCACCGGATAAAATTATGAAATGCAAAAGCATCGTGCTAGTAGTAATCAGATTACAAATTTGCTCAGCATGACAAATGGGATTTCTCATGCCGATTTACCTTGAAAAAGAGATTTGCCATGCAGAAATGCCATTACTTTTACTATTCTATGAGTACGATACTTTTGCACAGGACAAAAATTGCTGGAATCCATTCCGGACTGGCAGTCGAATCAGGCCTTCTCCGATGTGAGGGAGCTCTACGTGCTATCAACTGCAAATACGTCTGGGTATGGAAATAACTTGTGATGCAACAAAGGGAATATTGAGCACTTTGTAATGCGCCGGCAAGCATGACAAGTTTCTCGCTCTCCGGGGTTATGAGGTGCGTGCCCCGCATGAAAAGCTGCGTTTTTGCATGACAGGCAAATGGAGCTCTTCGCGGAGTACGCAATACAGAGTTTAGAGCCGTGGCAGACTAGCATGACAAATTTTGCAACCTCCCAGACCGAGACCTAGTTGCAATGCATACGTGCAGAGTTTTACCGATTTAAGAAAAGTCCAGCAGGAGCTGGTCCGGCTGAAGGAGAAATTTGACGCAACGCCGATTAAAAAATTCGAGCTCATGGATAAGAACTACGGAACAACTGGTAACGTGGACGGACTTTCAGCAGAAGAGGCAGAAAAACAAGCCGCAGATCAGTGTTCTGTGCAAGACCACGAGGCCCGATCTATCAAAATGAAAAATCCCCCCTCCCCATATCGAAAGGAAAGTCTGTGATGCTGTATTTGCGTACACAAATTAGCTTTGTCTTGCAGTAGAGAACTGCAGGCAGATACAAAGCCCGGAAAGGGGTGGCTTGAGGTAGTCACTTAGCATGGCAGATGTCTGCCCCATTGGCGCTAGCATTACAAGTCGCGTGCGAAATGCGGCGGAAGCTCTGGCTTTGCTCTCTTGCAAGACAGACTCGATCTGTGGCCACAAATCAGCAGCACAAATTTTGAAAAGCGCGCCTCTTCGATATGGGGAGGGGGGATTTTTGCTCACAATACGACCCACGAATCTGTTGTATACCTGTTTGCAAACCATCCACAAACGGCACTCCCGAACCACCAGACTCCTGTATTACAATGAAAACTCCCCCCTCCCCATATCAAAGCGGGGATTTGTGTAGCATGATGTGTGACCTCAGATCGCGTTGTCATGCTAGAGGGGAAGTAGAGATGCGCACTGTAGTACTGGCTGGTGTTGAAATGCCTTGCGTCTTCAGCATGACAGGAAGCATCTAGACAAGCGGAAAACAGAATGACAGATTACCTGCAGGCGAGACCGCAACTACGTTTCTTCGCCTTCTAGCAATACAAACCTGATCTGTGTACGCGAATCCAGCATCACAAATTTCTTTTTCGATATGTGGAGGGGGGATTTTTCCGTGTGATATCCTGGCCGGCGCGACCAACCTGGTCGAAAGCAGCACAAACGGCGCCTATCCTGTGCAAAAGTATATCGTATTCGTATTATCATGCAATCATGCATTACAAATCTTTTTGTTAAGTCAAATCCGCATTACAAATTTTCTTTGTCATGCTGGTAATGCATTTATACGAATACTCGATGCTTTTGCAGTTCATAGCGCCCTCGCGACAGCCACGGCGAGCGGCAAGACGAGCGAGGTGAGTTCTATGCAAGAAAAAAACTGTGTAAGTGTAACTCTGTAATGCAGAACTTGCAAGAGAGGTACGAACTTGTCATGCCAGGCAACCATGAAGTTCTCTTTCATGTGTGTTTTCCTTTACAAGCCACGCATGACAGGTCTATTTCTCTGTCAACATGTGGAGCAAATTTGTAATGCTGTCAGCCAAGAAAGATAGTCATAGCTACACTAACACAGTTTTTGTCTTGGATAAGTTCGCCAGAGCTGTTACTGCAGGAAAAGAAACGGATGAACGAAATCCTGGATAGGTTATTCTTGGGTCGCATGTCCACCAAGCTGCTGATTCGACGGTATCTGGAACTCGCGGAGCCCTACTTATCGCACGAAAAAACTGTAGTTTCACTGTAAACTTGTGATGCATAGAATGGAACACAGACCGACGTGTCGTGCTACACATGCAAGACCTTGCGCTTTTAGCTCTGGTTTCTCTTAGAAACCTTGCATGACAAGTTTTCTTTGTCATGTGTAACGAACTTGTGATGCAAAACTGGAAGTAAAATCCTTACAGTGAAACACTTTTTTCTCACGATACTACTCCCGCTACATTCAGTCCGGAGCGGGGATTATCGACCCCGAGTGCGATGTCACAAAGGTTTGCGAAAATGCGGTGAAGGAGGTGAAAAATCTGGTGAAGTTGAAATACGGCGTTGCCGACGATGAGTTGGTTTTTAAACTGCGGAAAATTCAGCACCCCGTGATTCCTATCCTGTGCAAAAGTATCGTACTCGTAATATGCATGACAAGTCTTGTGATAAAGGTAGAACAGCGTGACAAATTTCAGTTCTCGTCATGCTGAGCAACTTAAGTATTTGTAATGCAATTTACACTAAGTGCGATGCTTTTGCAATGCATAATCGCCTATCCAACCAACCATTTGTACTTCATCCTGTTCGAGATTCTGAAAAATGCCGCCACCGTATGACAGTGCACAGCTCCCCCTCCTTCTAATTTGTATAGCATGAACGGCAATACAAGCCTCAGCAAGAGTGCCGGTTTTGCATGATAAATTTGCACGACTGGACTGTAGTGCTATTTGGGCTACCAGAATTTGTCATGCATAATAGTGACAGGAGGGAAAGCGTGGATTGGATACTTTGCATGAGAAATGAGAACGAGGGGGAGTTGTGCACTGTCATACACCGCGACCATCAACCACAGAAAAAAGAGGCTGTTGCGAAAAAAGTTCGGCGGGGGCACATTCGTGCGGACACGGTCGAGCTCCTTGCGGGAAAGGCAGGAGGAAGCGGACCAGGTCAAACAGACGGAGAAGGGAACACCGGATACGTTCGTGAAGATTGTGGAGGACCATGTAGTGGACACAACAACAGTAAAAAGCGCGGAAGCTGCAGCAGCAAACGCAGTGGCAGGCCTCCAACAGGTCGCTGAGCCACATGATCATGAAAACAAGGACAACAGCACGACTGAGCAACTCCTGCGCCCGGGGGTCATCGAGATTGTGCTCACCGGAGACGACTTCTCGTGCGCGATACGCATCCGCGACGAGGGAGGGGGCATTGCGGATGAGGATTTGCTATGAATTGCAAAAGCACCGTGAGTAGTATGAATTGCATATACAAATTTGAATTTCCTCAGCATGAGAAATGTAATTTGTGCTGCTGATTTGATTGACCTTTAGGAAAAAGATTTGTAATGCGTAACTGCAATAATACTTTTGCAATGCATATTCTCCGCACGTTTTCGACTACCTGCACAGCACGACAAACACAGAGCACGTGAAGGACGAAAATGGGTTGAATTCTCTCAATCTGATGGTCGACGATGACCACCAAACGGCGGAGCAACAGTTGTTAGCGCAACAACTGGCACCCAACACGACCAACCCAAGCACGGCCAGCAGTTCTTCTTTTGCGGAACAGGCGAACTTCGAAGAAACTAACTTTCTCTCCCGGCTATGCATTGCAAAAGTTGTATAATCGCAGTCGTACTAATGACAGCATTCATGCATTAGAATTGATCAAGTCTCTTCCCTTCCTTGAGGTATTAACTCCGTATTACAGATTCCATTTCTACCCGTGCGCAGGAAATGGAAATTCGGCATGCGATTTGTGTACTTACGAAGATGTTTATTTTGCAATGCATACCGCCAGCACTACAAAACAGTGACCTTCGCTGGGGGCGGTTGTGGGTTGCCCCTGGCAAATCTCTACGCACGCTACCTCGGTGGCTCGTTGCAGCTGCACACCGTGTATGGAGTACAAATATGTCTGGGTCTGGAAGATTTTCAGGTTTGTCATGCATATTTTGAATGATCCATGATGTTTGTGATGCATGCGCTAGCATCACAGATTTTTAGAGGACTTCCTGACGCCTCTACCGCACTAGAAATGCCCTTTCCGCGTAGCACAAACTGGAGTCCTCTTGCTGGTCATGCAATACAAATTTTTTTAGAATCCAGAGACAGCATTACAAGTGTAGAATCTTCCAGACCTAGACACTTTTGCATTTCATACGTGAATTCCTTTGNGAAATGCCCTTTCCGCGTAGCACAAACTGGAGTCCTCTTGCTGGTCATGCAATACAAATTTTTTTAGAATCCAGAGACAGCATTACAAGTGTAGAATCTTCCAGACCTAGACACTTTTGCAATCCATACCGTGTATGGGCTAGGTACCGACGTGGTCTTATGAAAGGGAATATCAAATGTAAAAATGTCTGGGTCTGGAAGAATGCAACTTGTCATGCTGATTTTGGATGCTAAAAAAATCTGTATTGCATGAGCAGCAAAGAGATTTCAAGTTTTGCTACACGGAAAGAGCGTTTGTCATGCGGTATAGGCATCAGGAAGCCCTCATAAAATCTGTGATGCTAGGGCATGCATCACAGACATCAGGAGTCATGCAAAATGTGCATGACAAACCTGGCAATCTTCCAGACCCAGACATTTTTACAGTTGATAGGGAAGTGAGTGGTCTCTTTGTCTTTGACAAGTGCTGCTGAAAGGTAAGTTAGTACTACCAAGTACTAAAATCAGCCCACACGACCACCGCGTAAGAAGTTTAATTTATGCATCAGACGCGTTCGGCAATTCCAATTGCTGTAAGTAACTACTTGTTGTGCGAATGCGTTCGCGGTGCAAAAGAACTGAGGACCATAGCAAATGTGCATGAGTACTAGGCTTAGCATCATCATCAACACAGGCACTAATGAGAGCTGCTGCCCTCGCTTTTCCCCTTAATAGGTGTTGTTTATGAGCCGGGTTTATCAAATCGTAAAAATGTCTGGGTCTGGAAGAATGCAAGTTTGTCATGCCTGTCTGGCATGACTCTTAAATCTGTCATGCACATTACCAAAGAGCCCCACTTTTCTGTCATGCAGAAACGTACTTAGTTTGTCATGCAGAATAGGCAACACCTAGAAGCTCAGAAACTTGTCATGCTGAGCCAGCAATTGTGGCCTCCTCATGATATGCCACACAGCATCACAAGTTTCGAGACATCCAGGGATTTTTACATTTGATAGGGTCCAGGGACAGATGGAAAGGATTCGGTGACCACATCAAAGGGAGTTTTTGATGTCACCACGTCGAAGGAGCAAGGCTTGCAAAAAATGGAAGAAAACAATCTTTTCAACTGCTACGGACATCACGATGCAGCATATTTTTACACGAGCATACATGAAGATCTTCTGCTTTTCAGTTTGTGTTTGATCAATTGATTTACTGTGTCGAAGCTTAATAAATATCGTGTGCAATAAATAGACTTCTCTTTCTGTCGAGTCAGTCGAGACTCGTTTTGAAGGTGTTCTACTGCACGAGCACAATGTGGATGATCGTGTTCACCATTTTTATAAAGCCGTCGAGGCAGCTTCGTCAATTACACGCGTAGTAGTTGTACACCTACACCACGTATTTTACAGAAAAGTAGAATCCCGGCCAGATGAGAGTCCTCGTCAACATCGTATGAGAATTTGAAAATCCTGTATACTATACGTATGCCGCGCTGGTGTAGTGCCATTCGACTCGTTGTGTACATGACCTTCCTCGTGTAGTCCTCCTCGTGGTTCAAATTATGAAATAGTTAGATATCGTCTTCGTCCTCATCGTCCAGGGATAATGATCGTATCAGTGCGTGCATTGTCAACATTTCGTGGCAGGGGTACAAGTGTCCAACTCCAACAGGAACTTCTTCCACTTCGTTGCATCGTACTACGCCGATGATAGATGCGAAATTTTCTGCAATCCTCGTACACCTGCGGAAGTACGTCGTATTGTGGTTAGGAACTTTCGAAACAAATTAAAATCAATCACTACTTCTACCTTGATATTCGCATCCAAGTTGTACGTGTTAGTACTTCCACACAACCAACATTGTCATCACAGGAAAATAACAGCAACTCGACTGAAACACGAAACCAAGTTTCAAACAAACCGGCACCAAGCCAGCACCTAGAAAAGCAAAAAAGTTGTACAACAACTACCTCCTCGAGTAGAATAAACCTTTTCTCGCTCCGTAAAAAAACCTTTTTTTTTGCTTTCTTCGAGAAGAAGCGAAAAACTCAAACCCAAAAATGTTCGCCTCCAAGAAGACCCTGGTCCTGTTCGGCGCTGTCGCCGCCAACGTCGCCTCCGCGACCGTTGTCTCGGCCGAAAGCCTGCTGCGCAAGAAGACCACCCGTTCCGAGGTGAAAGCGACCGAGGTAGTTACTTACTTAAACCATTATTATATTTATATATGGAAGAAAACGGGGCTGGAGAGGGTACAGTAGAGGTTTGGTAGAGGTTCGGGAGAGGTAAAATAGAGGGTCGGAGAGGTAAAATAGAGGGTCGGACAAAATGAGAGGGTCGGGGAGAGGTAAAACGAGAGGTAATGGAGAGGGTCGGGAGAGG